TAGGAACATTTCTATTTGACCTTTCCAGAAGGAAACTACTTAGGCAAAGTGCAGTAATCATATCAGTGTAGTAGTAAATCTTAACTCAGTGAACGTGTATGTACACACTCACATGTAACTTCTTTGATGTCTTCTGTAATGTGTTTGGGTTAGTACATTTAAAATCTGTGTCCTGGAGCTAACACAACTGAAGCTGAGGCTTAATCAATCTGTTTTCCAAAAGCCAAAAGGAAACCGACAAACCTAAATAAAGTTGTGGAATTCCATAAACCAGTGATGTATTAAAGTCTTTTAGTCCACGTCTCAAGTCTCTACCTTCATGTTTCAAGTTGAGTCTCAAGTCCTTGCAAGATACTCTCAAGTCTCAAGTCTGGGGGCTAACTCTTACCGTATGGTGCATTTCTTGGAGAGGAACAGCAAATACATTAGGCAATAGGCTTGAGGTGAGGGTTGAGGTCTGCTCAGCACCTTGCCCCACTACACATCAGAGGAGCCTTTTAAAGCTTTTCAAAAGTTTTAGAAGGATCCTTCTGCCTCAAACCCTTTGCTGAATGCATTTGCTGGTTCCCTCCAAGAAATGCATCCTGTATTCTGGGGGCAGGTCTTATCTGTTGCTCAGAGTGAATGGCACCAGCAAGTCAGTCACTAATATATGCAAGTCTCAAGTCATTTTTTTTGCCCTTTTTTTGGCCTTAAACATGACTTAAGTCCAACTTAAGTCTGAGTCAATTCTACATCACTGCCATAAACTCCTTAAACATGTCTCTGAAAAGTTTAAAATGAAACAGTCAAATCTGCGCCTTAGTTCTCCCTGAAGACTGGAAGTGTCATGGGGCATTGAAAGAGTTTATAACTTCCTTGAATAGCATCTGAGATTTAGTCCTGATATCTCCATGACAGCAGTGGCAGTGAATCCATCTTTTAGAAGGTGTCTAGAAGTCCAAGGCAAAGCAGATAGGGAACTTATAGCCTTGATATGTTGAACTGAAACAGGGGCCACTTAGATCAGCATTGTCCTTGGGCCCCAGGAACAGATCATTTCCATCACTTGCAACTTGATT